TGGCCAATCCTCCACTAGTTTCATCTTATCTTGTTTTATATGTATGCCTTTGGAAGACACGACATGTCCCAAAACCTTGGACTAAATGATGACTATCGATACACTATCAAAAAAAAAACAGTCTAATATTTCCTTTGATATGAATGAAACATGACCGATCTATTTCAAGTATCAAAGACCCTTCTAATCTACAGCAACATAAAATCTCATCACAAGATAAGATAAATTGGATTAAAACAAAATTAAATAAAATTAAACAGAATAAATTATGAAAGACAAAATTGTGCAACAAAAACTAAAATAAAACAAAACAAATACGAAGATATAAAATCCAGTTGTATTAAGAAAAAAGATTTGAAGCCATATTTAATGAAATGCTCGAAAAGACCTTAGCTACTCCTATTTATACTCTATTTAATCACCCCAAACTTTCTAAAATATTCTTAGATAATGGATTCTACTTAGATAATTGCTTTAAATTCTTTTTAGAAGGTTCTATGGTAGGCTCCATGTAGATAACCATCTTAAGCCTTTTTAAAAGGTTTTATGATAGGCCCTATTTAGATAACTTTTCTAAACTCTTTTTAGAATGTTTTATGATAGGTCCTACCTGATTTACTAATTTAACCCCAATTCTAAAAACTTCCATGGTTCTAACTATCTATTCTTATGTGTCAATAATATAAATAACTTATTTATATTTATTATAGATATGATATTTATGAACGTACATGGGAGTTGATAAAAAATCCTATAAATGTAGCAAAAAAAATTGAAGCTTTTCATCTATGACATCCATTAAAACCAAAATGAAGAATAACAAATCTTTGTTATAAAAGAAATAAGATTATAGGAAGATAACACTCTACCTTTCTATCTTTCTTTGTAGCTTTTGTATATTTGTAATGCTAAGGAGATAAAGAATCAACAACGAGCAAATTCAACTAAAGAGCTTTCATTTGCGGACTTTCCAAATGAGACATTATGATTGTCACAACCTTCAAGATGACAAAATCGAGATGAAGTTCTTCAAAAATAACATGTTCTTCTTTAAATAGATGGCAAGATATAACGTATTTGATATCACAATCTTAAAAGAGACTCCCGATGTTTGATGATTTTATTAAAGGTAGGAACAATTCCTCACATTATTTCAAATGTTTTATTTGAAAGAAGTTATGAGGACCTCAACAAAAATCAAATAATAGGGTGGTCTTCTTTCCCTGGTATGTGATACTATCAATGGCCGAGAAGACCTATCAACCATCTTCAAAGAGAACAAAGATCAGAGTATGTAGAAAATATAATTTGCCACATCTTGGATTTCTTCAATATATGAAGACCACTTTTTGTAGAACTTGTCTATAAAAAGAGAGATAATATCACAAATATACATAGATATTCTAGTAAATATCTATATGATTAGATAGAGGTAGGTAAAAATAAATAAAAATAAATTAATTTCATAATATCTTCTTAAAAAGCTTTCTAGAAGCTTCATAGATATTGATTTGACTTTACATGTATTTATGGTTGATTGATAGATTAGAAACTTGATCAACAAGTTAATCACATATTGATAGCTTGAAAACAAGCTAAATATGTAGTGTTCATATAGAAAACTTGCCTTACAAGTTAAGATATGTGTCTTATAAAGTCAACACATTTTGAAAGTCTTATAGGACATTACTATGTAGCTCGTAGTTAAGAGTATATATAGAAGCAAGAATGAAGCCTTCTTCATTCTTGTCAGTACTTTTTTAGTCCTTAGACTTATTTGAAGACTTTCTAGCCTTCTTATTTTTGGCAATAGCCATTCTAGTTCAATATTATATCATCTTTGAATGACTTTTTAGTTCCTTTCAGTAATATAAGAGTGTATTGAGGATTTTTTTTCTTTGAGATTCATATCTTTAACAATAAGGAAAATTAGGTAGAATATAAAATTAAATAAATTTAATATTATCTTATGGTTTAATTTCTTAGAAACTTTATAGACACGGATTTAACTTTAAACATTTTTATAATTGATTGATAGATTAGAAATTTGGCCAATAAATTAGCCATATATTGTACGTATTTGTAACTTGTGATACAAGCTAACCATGTGATGCACATATAGGAAGTTTGTCTTACAATTTAGAGACATGTCTCGCAAGTTGGACACATGTTAGAGGTCCTATAGAATGTTGCTATATATCTCTTAGTTATATAGTATATGTAGAAGCAAGAGTGAAGCCTTCTTTATTCTTGTAAACACCTTTATAATTCTTAGTCTTGTTTCAAGGTACTATTTTATTTATTTATTTATTTTTTGGAAATATCCATTCTAGTTCAATATTATATCACATTTGAGTGATTATCTATTCTTTTAAAGTAACACAAGAATATATTGATCCTTTGGTTCTTTTAGTTTTATATCCTTTATGTTATATTCTCAATAGTCATTGTATACAAAATAATGGTTTTGATACCATTGTTCCTTTGTTTTTGAATAATAATAAATTATTTCATTGTAATATTTTCAAAGAATATATCTTTTTTATTAAATAATATATTTTAAATAATTAATTTAACAATTTATTTTAAGATTGTTAAATAATATTTTTTATTGTTAATAAAATTATAATATTTTAAAATAAGAATTAATTATAATTATAAAAAGAATATCAATAAAGCATTAAAAGATTATTTTTTGACCATTTAATATTTTTTTACTTTTAAAACATCCAAAGAAGTTGTTTAGTTGTATGTTTATAGATGTTATCTAAGCAAACTCACTTGAATAATTACTAAGAATTGATATTTTTATTTCTTTTTATACTTACTCTTTATCATTTCTTTTGCTTTTTCAACCAAATTATCTACAAAATTAATAAATTTTCAATCTTACAATTAATATGACTTTATTTTTAAAAAGTGACTTAAAGACCAAACAACTTCAAATATAAATTTTTATAATGAAAGACACTTTTGAAACGAATTTGTTATAAGAATTATAGTTAATAGCACAAAAAAATTATTATTATTATTATTATTATTATTATTATTTTTAATAAAATCATCTAATATAATTTTTGCATAGATTAAAAGTTTTTAAAAGTATTCTATTAATATAAGATTATTATTTTTTATTTAAAAAAAAAAAATTATATTAAGTAAATTATTATATAAAAAAAATAAATTCATGAAAAATACTTATATCTATCTATTTGCCTCTTAAAACATGTATTGAATTATTCAATTGTTGCATCTATGATTTTAATTTTATTAAATAAACTTATTATTATTATTATTATTTTATTTAAAATTATTAATAATTAAATTTTAATATTAAACTTTTGATTAAATTACATATATATATATATATATATATATATATATATAATTAAAAAAATCAATATATCTTGAGAATTTTTTTAAAATAATCCATCCATTTACTTAATAACTTATCCTATTGTGGAAAAAAATTGGAATGAGAGCTTGGAATAGGAGATGGATTGGAAGAGGGTTGAAATGAAGAGAGGTAGAAATGGAGGGAGCATGGGCTAGGAACAAGAAAAGTAGGAATAAGGACTATGCTTGTAATGATAGTTTCTAAAGATTCATTTTTCTAATGATGGTTGTAATAAGGTGGATTGATTTAGTAAATGAGTGGATCATTTTAATTTTTTTTATATTATTTAAGATAATAAAATATATGAAAATTTATTAACTTTTATATGTTTTATTTCTTAAAATATGAGATTCTAATATTCATTCAAATATAAGTAGTCAAATTTCATCAATAAAGTAGAGAATTTTAGACAAAACCATAAAAATTATATTTGAATATAATAAATTATAATATTTTAATATATAATATAAATATTATAAAATATATTATAAAATAAATAAGAAATCAAATAATGTATGTAAACTAAATCCTAAAACTAAAAAAAAAAAATTGTCTTAAAAAAACATGTAAAACTTAATATATAAAGTAGAAATAATAAAAAAAATCATGTTCGTTAATATATTTTAGTAATTTAGTAATAAATAGATGTTAGAAATATAATTCAATAGATACATGTAAAAATATGTTATATTTTAGTAGAAATAATGGAGGAATAAATAAATATGCATCTATATATATATGTATATGTATATATATATATATATATATATATATTAGAAACATGAAGGTGTAAACATACACATTTAAATACAATAGAAACAATTATTATAAATGAAGACTAAAATATTTTAAGATTATTAATAAACTTGAAGATGATTTTAGTTGTATTGTCTTACATACATGAAATTAACTGGAAATATTTTGTAGTCTAATGGCACATTAAAGATGCTTAAATATTCAATTAATTCTTGGTAAAGTTTCTTTAGTGAATATTTAAAAACATATATTATTTATGTAAATCTTTTTATTTATTTATTTATTTAGTATGTAGACATATAGATATATTTTTCTGACATTTACTGTCTGAAACAAGTCTTTTAAAAGTCCAAGAAAGACAGTTTTTAATCAAACTTTCATTTCCAATGACAATCATCAAAAGATTCTTCCAATGTTCATGTGTGTGTACATATTTATACATGGATATGGAAGAATAATAATTGTAACAATGCATTGCCACATGTGGTTTAAAATTTCCAAGTTAGAACTCACTTAATCTGTAATGAAACTTCAACACACACACAGGAATGTCTTTGATTGATTGTATGCGAAAAGGATGGAAACGGATCGACAAGTATTCAAGTATAGGAGGATGTGGGATGATGAGGAATCGGCACTGGGGTGATGAAGACGAAGAAGAAGAGACAACAGAGATTCATTCCTGCAGGGAGAGGTGGGGTTGGGGGTTGGGGGGGGGGGCAGGAAGATATTATGCGTAGTTAGCAAGATCTCTATTCGTTCGCTCTGCCAAGGCATTTCTTTTCAGGCTGGAAAGTGGGGGACAAGGAAGGCAGCAAGCAAGCAAGCAAGGGAGAATACCAAGGCAGGCAGGAAGGAAGGAATGAAGGCAGAAAGAAAGAAATCGAGAGAAAGAAAGAGGCGGCATCGTCGTCGTCATATCGGCAGGATCGCTTCTTCATGCCTGGCCAATGGCACGCCGTCACCCTTCAAGTGGCCTACAGACAGCGGGCGGGAGAGAGAGGGAGGTGCGATCAAGCACTACGGCGAGTCCCCCCCCCCCCATTCTCATTGCAGGAGCAGTAGCTGCATTCTGGTGCCCCGGATCACACCTCCTCGTCGCCGTCAGAATCCGGTAAGCTTGTCAATTTCCAGCGAGGAGGCCAAGGAGGAAGAGCTCGACGAGGGCTGGCCATCAGGTGCAGCAGCGATGGCGCTGTTAGGCAGTCGCTCGGGCTTGGTGGGCCTCAGGGTGAGCTCGCGAGTGGGCGGGGAGAGCAGTAGAATAGTGCCCGCGACGAGAGATCGCTTCTGCGTGCACTTGAGGCCGAGCACTCGGGCGCATCGTCGTCTGGATAGGACTGTAGGGAATGAGAGTCTTTGCACTCCCCGGGAGAGGGACTTGGCTGCGGAGCCTAAATTCTTGCACACGGGATGGGAGTCTTCTTCTTCTTCTTCTTCTTCTTCTTGCGAGACTGGGATACCCGTCACGGCATTTGGAGGTAATGGAGACGAATATGAGAGTTCCAATGAGGCGAAAATTAAAGTGATAGGCGTGGGGGGCGGGGGTTCCAACGCCGTCAACCGAATGCTTGAGAGCGAAATGCAAGGTGTGGAATTCTGGATTGTGAATACGGATGCTCAGGCAATGGCGTTGTCTCCGGTTCCGGCTCAGAATCGTCTGCAGATTGGTCAGAAATTGACGCGAGGTCTGGGGGCGGGTGGTAATCCGGAAATAGGGTGTAGTGCCGCGGAAGAGAGCAAAGCTATGGTGGAAGAAGCCTTACGCGGAGCTGACATGGTTTTCGTTACAGTATGTGTTGATGACTACCCTTCAGTTTCTCTCGAACGTTGATGGATTATGGCGTGCCTCACACTCTTGTTTCTATGCGTGCGCGCTAATTCTTCCTTACTACTGCAAGTGTTAGAAGTGAATTTTGTGATTATTGGGGTCTTTTTTCACTTGAATTTCGCTTGAACCCCATTGTCGATGAACACCTGAGTAACGTTGTCAGTCATTCGATTTTAAAAATTTAAAAATTTAATTTTATGGTTTCTCTTGTCAGCGTATCCTCCATTTTGTTATAAGAGGCAAGTTCTGCACAAATTGCGAACGGCTTCATCATCTCCTCTCCATGCTTAAACCTTGAGGGTACGTGGTAGATCGATATCAGTTTGTGCGTGTGCACACGTTCTTGGCTGATATTTCGATGCCTATTTATAACGAATTGATGTCTCACCAATTCCGGTTTCGGGATGATTTGGGTTGCAGGCGGGCATGGGTGGTGGCACTGGCAGCGGTGCTGCACCAATCATTGCTGGTGTAGCGAAGCAATTGGGAATTCTTACCGTGGGAATAGTAACTACGCCTTTTGCCTTTGAAGGGCGGAGACGATCCGTTCAAGCTCACGAAGGCATCGCGGCTCTCAAAAATAATGTTGACACTTTAATTACGATACCAAACAACAAGCTTTTGACTGCAGTTGCGCAGTCTACCCCCGTGACGGAAGCATTCAATCTTGCCGATGACATCCTTCGGCAGGGAGTGCGGGGTATTTCAGATATTATCACTGTACGTGGCATCATAGTAATCTATATGTGCATGTTGAAATCGTCCAATTCATCCTCAAAAAGGGTACGAGTATGGATGCTACGGCACAAGTGTGGTCTTAGAAGGTATAGAAATGAGTTTTGTGAAATTACTAAGTCTATAGAATATTATGACTTTTGGTGTTTTTTGGGCGATACGGATGAGATTCTATTCGATGGAGCAGACTTTACGCCCTACTTTGCTAATCTTGAGTTCTAGCCTGATGCTAATCACAAGATTTCACGTTTAAATGCCTTCGAAATGATGTGTTTGTAGAAGCCATCACCTCCATATTGACCAGTTAAGGTCCTGGTTGCAGGTTCCTGGTCTCGTTAACGTGGACTTTGCGGATGTGCGGGCGATCATGGCCAATGCAGGATCATCTTTGATGGGAATTGGAACCGCTACAGGTTTACTGCCCTTTTGCAATATGCGGATCTGAATTTGGATATACTTTTTGTTTGTTTACAGCTTACCACTTGTTTCCTCGTGTATGACTTTTTTGTTGCTTGTTTCCTGTTTTCTCCCTGAATACGTGTTATCATAAACCTGAACGAAATTGAAAAATACATCGGCTCTAAATTAACTGTTTGCAGGGAAGTCAAAAGCTAGAGAGGCAGCATTGAGTGCCATTCAGTCTCCATTGTTGGATGTGGGTATTGAGCGAGCCACAGGGATCGTTTGGAATATTACTGGGGGAAGCGACATGACCCTCTTTGAAGTAATTTCGATTACCTAATGCACTTTAGTTCATCTATCTCTTGGGTTTGTGAATAACATTCTTATTGACTAACTCTTTATCAGGTCAATGCTGCAGCAGAGGTAATCTATGATTTGGTGGATCCTAACGCAAATCTTATTTTCGGAGCCGTAGTAGACGAAGCACTTCATGACCAAGTGAGCATCATTTCACAACATCAAACTCAAATGCTAAATTGTGAAACTTGAATCTCTGGTTTGAGACATTTATTCATTACTTACATATGTAGGCCAACTGGTTACATGTATCTTGCTAAATGTCTAGGTTATGTTTAGAATAGGTGATCATGCCTTTTTCTGTCATTCTGGGTTTACTTTTACAAAATTACCTGTTGAGCATATGGGTTGGGTGTGTTTTACAGATTAGCATAACCTTAATAGCAACAGGGTTTAGTTCTCAAGATGATCCTGATGCACGGAGTATGCAGGTAACCTGTTAATATGCTCTATCACTGTTCTTAATGTGATCGAATTGAAATGGCTGTTTTGATAGATCAATAAGACGTGAAATCTGGTCCTAATTAGGTTTTTTTCACTTGTTAATAATCTAGAATATTGGCATTTAAATTGTTGGTGATGTATATTCCGTCTTGGAACGTACATGAGGACGAAACATATTGTAGCTAATTTTGTTTGAAGATATTAAGTTTTAACAGATTGATATTTTGCACTATGGATGACTATTATTGTTAATTTGGTTTTCTGTATCAAGTAGTTGGTCTATATTTTGGAGTTTATCACTTGAAAGACTCTTTAAGGATGTGTGATCATCTCCTTTAAGGAGAACTTTTACTACTCATTAGACACGTTGCAGTTAATTGTTGCCATCATGCATTTTGTGTTCGATGCGTTTGTGATGATGTACATGATATTCTTCTGCAGTATGCAAGTCGCGTATTGGAGGGTCAAGCTGGTCGATCATCGATGGCCTCATCCCGAGGTGGCAATAGCTCTACGATTAACATACCAAATTTCTTACGAAAGCGAGGGCAAAGGTAGTACAAATGGGATTGCTCATCATTATTAAGCCGTGAGAAGCTGGACCTGAACTCAGCATTACTACCGCAGCTGAACTAAAACATTAACTACGGGATAAAGTGTTCTTGGCAAAGGTTAGGGAAGAGGGAAAGGACCGTCAATCAAAGAATCAGGAAAGACATTTGACCAGGTCTGATATAATGTCTGCTAGTACCGGTTTGAACCTACTTCTGACCTTTCATTAAATGTGAAATATTGCGAGTGGTATTAGTTTTGATTTCATCAGATAATGAGTTTTCTCAGGGTGGAGTGGCAGACTTAGTGATTACCATGTTTTTGAACAGATTTAAAGAGAGTTCTTTTTTTTCTCCAAAAATCAATCATTTTGGGACATCAGTAAATCGGCCTTGTAAAGTACGTTTTTTCAAAATATTAATGTTTATTTGTACATGATTAACATGTGCTAGGTCACCTTGGAAGTCTCTTGAACTAACTAAACTAAGCAAAGATTTTTCTTCTAGATGTGAGAAGAGTATGTAATCTGTTGTACACTTAAAAAAGAGAAAAAAATGAAGATTTTGGTAGAGGAGTTTTTAAAGATTAATTTTGTAAAATATGCAACTTCAAAGGAGTATTTCAGTTAAAATTATATTTTGAAACAAATATTGTAAGAAAAAAAAACATCCCAATCTAAGAATAAGGTAATATTTTGTGCTATTTGGTGAGATAATCTTTGAAGATAAATACTAAAATTGAGATTAAGATAGTAGAACACTAGCTAAAAAGTATGATGTTTGAAGTTTTTTAGAAATTGTAAAGTGAAATTTTGATAATTAATGAATAAGCTGCAATTTGGTGAGATAATCTTTGAAGATAAATGGTGAACAAGTGGTAAAGTTACAAGCATAGGAAGAAACAAGAAATAAAGAAGATTACTAGAAATAAAATAAAAAAAAACATCTAAACAATAAGATGAAATATAAAATAGATGATTTTAGAAAAATGGAATATAATTTTTGAACTCATGCGAAGTTCAAAAAAATAAATGGTAATCTAAAAAGGCAATTAAATAAAGAAATTTGTACTATAGGAAAATTTGGTTGAATAAGGAAATACAACAATAATATACAAGTGAACTAGTGAACACAAATTTAAGAAAAATACAAGCAAAATGAAATAAAAAAAAAAAAAAAAAACTTCATGATAGAAAGTTGAAATTAAAGGTTCAAAACACCAAGTAAATGACAAAAAAAGAGATGCAAGGAAAACTTTAAAAAGAAAATAATAGAATTTTTTCTAAAAATAAAATTTTAGTCCAAAAAAAGCATGTCTAACAACTCTTGAATTCGACCAAATGAAGGCAATTTTGCATAAAATTAATAAAAGTTTTTTTTTTAAAAAAAAAAAATACATTTGTAAGTTGCAAAATCAATCATTTCTATTGATTCTAAAATTTTTAAGTATGTCAATTGACCATTTTATTTTTTAAATTAAAAATAAATTTCATAATTATTTGATTAAATTTGATATTAAATGTTTTTATTTTTATTATAAAAGATATATAATATAAAAGATCAAATACAATGTATTTCAATTACAACATGAAATTTAATAATAAGACATTGTAGATACTACAAAACTTTGAAGATTATTTTAAAAGATTGTTCATGGCTTTTTATATATGACAAAATATGAAAAAAAAAAAAAAAAAAAAAAAATCTTCTTATGTCTGTTCTCATACAAATACTCCATAATATAAATAATATTGACTTTATTATATCTTTTTATATTTTATATCTCAAAAAAAGATGAAGAAAGTCAAATTATTTTTTTAAAATATTTATAAATAACTTATTCTTTTAATTGAAATTATATATATTTTAGAAGATTCCAGCTTGTATCGAAAATTCAAAAGATGTTCTTTAAGATGTTAAAATTAGAAACTAACCTCTCTTTGTCTTTTTTTCAATTAGGCTAATAAAAAATTTTAAATAATAAAAATTTATTAAAAAATATATATTATACTTTTAACTATCATCAAGACAATTTTACAATTCTCTTATTATAATCAACTTTCTTATATAATATCAAAATACATTCTTTTATTCAAAAAATATTTTTACTTTTACTAGTTATAATTAACAACCATCATTTGATACATATAAATTTTTAAAATTTGATGATATTGCAAAAAAAAAATTTAGAAACAAAACCACTAAACATTCGTACAAAAATAAAGATGTTGCTAAAAGAGTTGAAAAATAAGAAAATTCCAATATAGAGACATTTTAAAAAAACAATTTTACTTAAAGTTAGTAATAAGATATGGTTAGCTTGTCATAACGTCACAACCAATTATTCTTTTAACAGGTTTTACTATTAAATATTTTAAATATTTATTATACAAAAATAAATTAATCTACTTGTATATTGGTTATATTTTATATTTTTATATTTTTTTTCATATATTTTTATTTGATTTTCATAAAAAAAATATATACACTAAGAAAAAAGAAATTACCACTCCTTACTCTTTAAACATATAACAATAAAAAATCAAAATATAGATAGTTATAGATTTAAGTTTGTACCAAATCCAAGAAAAATAACTTAAACATTAGCACATATGTGATGCTATTAAATTCACATGGAAAATATTTTAAAATATTTAAAATATACTTCAAATAAATTGTGGATTTTTATTAAAAATATCTTTAAAAAATAAATATAGATTTTTTAAAAAAATATTAAAAATATATATTATAGATAAATAAAAATTCAAAAAATAAAAATATTTTATATATAAGTTTATGGTTTTTTATGAAATTTGATTTAACAAAGTTGAAAAGCAATAGTGAACTTTATATTTCAAAGTCTATTATTTACAAAATTTTCCAATAAGCAATGTGGATTGTTATAATATTTTTAGAATAAAAATCAAAATAATAATGTACAAGAAAGATTTTTTTGTTTTGAAACAAATTATAAAGTGTTAGATTTTTGGTACTATAATCTTAAAAGATAATTTTAGTTCTTGATAATATTTTTGGAAGTAGATATGATATCAAATATTACTACAAATGTGTTGTTTAAGATATTTATAATACCTCATTTATAAGCAAATAAAGGGATGGTCTTTCTATTTAAAGATGAGATATTTTTAATAGTTTAAAAGAATTATCAACCACCTATTGTACAATACACATATTTGAGTTTGTCACAAATACTATTTGATAAATCTTGGAATTTATAGCTTTAATTAACAATTCAAAATTTATCCACTCTTCATTAAAAATATCTAAAAGGAATTATAAATTAAAATTTTCTATGATTTTTAAACAAGTACAAAAAAATAATATAAATACAAACACATAAAAATAACTGAGATAAATAATATATTCCTTAAGGAATATTAAAAAAACTTCTTAAATATGAATTAAATTAAAAGACGCATTATCTAGCTAAAATAACTTTAATAAGATTTTTTCTTTTTCTAAAAAGCATTTATAAAAACACATTAAGAATTGAGCATTTAATCTAAGAACTTGGAGTAGTTAGAAAGCTTCCCAAGGCTCTTTACGCTAACTAGCATATACAAACAAAAGAATATAACCGTCTTTAGTTTTTTCAATATGTATTTTTTATTCCAATATTACTTTAAGAGACTTTAGTTCTCAGTAATTAATTATAGCCATTAAAATATATTTTAATTTTTAATTTATTAATTATTAATTATTAATTTCTTAATTACTATTATATATATAGTATTTTTTCAAAATTATACAAAAATTTAAATTTTTAAAATTAATTTCAGTTAAATATATTTTTCTTAATAATTCCAATAGAAATATTTTATCAATTCAATTTTATTTTTATAATTAATTTTAGCCTTTTAAATTATAATTTATTTAATTCAAAAAATATATATTAATATCTACTTACAAAAACATACAAAAACTTAACAGCTATTCATTCTATAATTATATTATGTTTCAATCTTAGCAATACACTTTCTCATATTTTAATACATGGTGTCAAAGCTTGATACTCTAGATTGTACTTTAGATTAAGTGGATTGTGTGAGATTTTTTTTAGGACATGGCCTTTCAATTATCTTGAAGGAGCTTTATTTTTTATAAATTAGTTTGAAAAAATATTAAATCTTAAAGACATTAAAATTCTTAATATCCTTTAAGCAGCATAAGATTTATAAAAAGAGATTTATAATAAGAAGAATTTGAGTCTCTGTTGCCATATGTATGAAAATTATATAGAGCTTTTAGAATCTTAGAGTCAACATTCACACTCTAAGAGCAATAAGTGAAGTTTCTCATTGGAAATGACAAGAATTTTTATCAAGAATGTGAGAAAGCATGAAAGTCTATTAGAATCATTACTAATAGCTAGTGGAATTGGATATTGGTAAGCAAGACCTGACTTCAACAACAACACAATTTTGAAATTTAAAAACAACTTTTAAAAATTCCTTTGGAAGATTTTTAAAAACTGAGCATGTTTGAAGAATACCAAATTTTGCACCAATAGACCAAATCAAGTCCAAGGACTCCAAAAAAATTTCAAAGGATAGTATTTTTTATTTTTTTTTATTTTTTTTTATCATTTTATGATATTTTATAATAATTTCTATAATTTTCTTGATTTTGAAATTTTGGACTTGAAATGAATTGAGAGTATAAATAGCACAATATTTTATAATTTTTATAATTTTTTAAAATTTAGAATTTTAGAATTTTAGATTTATTATAGAATTTATATAAATAATAAAAATAATAGAATTCAATATTAAGTCTCACGTATAACTTATTTATAATTAATTTCTAATTATTTTTTATTTTTTAGATTTTGAAAAAAAATAAAAATAGAAGATTTTAATAGAATCAATTAGAATTTCTAGAAGAAAAAGATTCGATTCATTCTTAATAATAAAGATTTATCATAGGTAGTTTATAGAAATTACAAAACATCTACTAATTGACTTGTAGGTCCAATATAATTAGATATATGAGAGAATATAGATTCCAAGGCATTATTTGTAGTTTGATATCATCTTTTAGATATATAATTTGTAAATACAAGTAAGACTAAAAGTCCAAAGACATCATAGAAATATCTCATAACAACATACAAGATGAAAAACACTTTAAATCTGCTATACTTAATTTTCAAATTTTGATATATGTAAAGGAGTAAAAGTAATAGTGTTTTCAAACACATTGGTAAGCTACAAGTGATGGTTGAGCAACTTGCATCAATTGGCAAGAAAGTTTTAGATACATACTTAATAATGGTATTATTGAAGAGTCTTGAAAAATTATTTACTACCCTTCTATAAACTATTCGAGTCTTGAAATGCAAAGAAGATTTTATTTGCTTTTTAGACAAGACAAACCATAATCAAGAGAGATTGATAATTTTTAATATTTTGATCATTTTAGCATTATAAGCTTGAA